ACACTACTGACCTGTCCCATCTGCGCAACATCAGCCCTACTTACTTTCTATGCAATAATGCATCAACAATCACTTGTAACTGCAGTTTCAATTCATCACTATTATAGCACAAAATACTTTTATCATAGAGAGGCTTACATATATTCAATAAAATTATACAGAAATTGCGTCACCAAAAAGAATAAAGACCGGCTATCAGTAAGACAATATACATCTCTCTGACACATAACTCACATTTGTGCGCTCATACAGGCAAGCAAACACACACTCTACAACAGCTTAGAATAAGCGCCCTGTCGAATAATTCTGAACGGTCACAATAAAAGGGAGCATAAATTTCCGAAAACTCATACACAACACATACAGCTTGCCTGCATCATTTTATCTACTCACAACTATCACAAAATGCAAAAAAAGCCACTTTTTTTTGAACATTTTTGAACCACCATTCCGAGAAGACAATTTTTGACAAGCAGGTTGACGTTCTGAATTCAGCCCTTAGCACCACGCAATATCCCAGTGTTAAGCATGCTTGGACATCAGCATTAATCAGCTTTTCACCAAGCAAGTTTTTCTGCTAACAGCGATATATACTCGTCGCCGATCAGGGATGGAGATAGATGCCCGCACTGCCAACAGGCTCCGACTATTTAGCGCAGTGGTTGTCAAACTTTTTGTGCCCAAGGCACACCAAAGGGCAAGCCAAAATCTCAAGGCACAGCTGTATTTATATAGCGCAAATTAGCTTCTATAACACGTGTTTTCACTCTGATCATTAAGTATAATTTTTTTCTTTACTAATGGCAAATAAAATTTGCAAACAACCATATTACTCCTGAAATATTAGTTAAAAAAATTCAAGGATTCACTTTCTAAAATTACACCATACAAAATAATTCAAAAAAACTTGTCATCTTCCGTCTCAGAGTTGCAGAAGCACCATATTCCCTTGTTACGTAAGGATTTTTAATCGTAACTTAACTGAACCGAGCATCAATATCTCATCTGCCCAACCCCCCACTAAATAAATGAAAGGTCATTCATAGAATGACGACTTGCCGGAATCATGCACAGATCTCTGAAACAGAATGAACGGAATGGAGTTGGTTTCAAGTCTCTAACTGTAATAGTAGCAAAGTTATGAACCAAAATGTGTTTTTGACCTTTCTGGTTACCTTAACCTTGACCTTTGACCTTGATTCCTAAGTCAAGTAAGATAGACTTTTTGTTTATGAACAAAATGCTCTTGGTTTGAAGTCTCTACGACGATTAGAACCGAAGATATGGCTTCTTCTGTGTTTTTGGCCTTTTCCTGTGAACTTGACCTTGACCTTTGATCTAGATTCACCAAAATAGTGCAGTAGCTAGGTGAGGTAAGGTAGACCTTCCGTTTATCAACAATATGCACTTGGTTTGAAGTGTCTACGACGATTAGAACCGAAGATATGGCTTCTTATATGTTTTTGACCTTTTGTGTGACCTTGTCCTTGACCTTTGACCAAGATGCACCAAAATAGTGCCGTGCCTGTCCTATGTTGATCATGAAATATGAGCTAAATTGAGCTAAAACTGTGGATGCCACAGTGCAAAAAAACAAACAAACACACAAACAAACAAACGAACGGAGTAATACACTTGCCAATCCAAGATTCCTCGGATTCCGGCAAGTAATAATATCAAAATTATTAAATTGACACCAACTTTGACATGAATATTGCAGGACTTCACTAAGAAAGCATGATCAGCGCATGAAATCGAACGCTTAGAGTTGGCTTGATTTGTTGTGCACTCGTGATCATGAAAAGATGAAGAAACGAACAGAGTATGCATTGTAAAGCATTTATTGCGCATTTTAATAGAAAAACATAACGAAGTCGTTGCAAGTTACGTAGGTGGTCACATGATCCCCGAAGCAAAATGTACACAAAGGTTGATCTCAGCATAGTGAAAATGGGGAAATCTTGTGCTGCTGTTGCTTGCACTAATAATAATGCCATTCAGTCGTCTGGAAAATACGGCAAAATACGTTTCCATCAATTTCCACAAAATAATGAAGCCCTTTTGAAAGATTGGCTTGTTAAATTAAGAAGAATTGACAGTTGAACACAATTCAAGTACCAAGCAAGTAAATAAGCATCTAGCAAAACATTAAATAAAATAACATCAGTGCTCTATTGCAAGCATTTCCACTGAATTTGTGCTATGCAAACAAACGATACCTCAAATGAAAAAGGTCAGTCCACAGGTTCCAACGATATAACCCTTGTCATTTTAAATAGACACCACACTCAAAGAACAGCAGGCATACACTTTAAATGCTACAGAGTTGAGCAAAAATTTTCTTACCTTTGATATTTTGTCATAAAAGCTGTTTGTGGGTAAATCTGCACTTGCTATTGTTTTAGCCAGTCTATCTGAGAGTCCTTTCGCCATTATGCTATGCACTGGAAGACCTCAGCAGTATAATCACTTAAATGGTTAGTTTTTTTGTATTTTCGCGATAATTAACCGCAAAATATTCAACTGTTGTTCTCAAAGCCGGTTTATGACTGATAATCCTTGCGCCAATATGCTCAAGTTCAAACAGAGCACAGCTATACAAGTGCTAAATCGACCAGTGAATATATAGTCTGTTGAGCTAGTGTCGTGGATAAAGCGGAGCATTTGGACCTGATGTTCGATATCCGGTTATACATGCGACATTTCAGAGCCAGGAAATACATTTTTTTGTATAAATAAATAATAATTAATCGATGCATTCCCATCCCATCAAAGCCATCTTCCTGAGTTACTTCGGGGATCACATGACTTACACTACGGTTTCTGCATCCAGTGCAACCCCTCCATTGAGAAAAAATGTGAGAATTGAGCATGCATCATAAGTATCAATTTCATGGTACAAGCTCTCAAGATGCTCTCTGAAGGTCTTCAGCTTCCAATCTTTTTGCAGAAAAATGACGAAGCATCAGAACGTTCTTGGGGCTTTAGCTGCCTATCTTATAATTCTGTTCAGAAGTAAATGACAAACTTCTGTGTAGTGATACCTCAAAACTACTGAGCAGTCTTTCGTACATACACGGAAAATAGTTTTCTGTTGTGCTACCATTAAACTGTAGCGGATCAAATTTAGTATCACATCGGATTACTCCATCTTACGGTAAATTCCATCATGACGCAAGTCGCCGAGGAAGGGCCGTGTAAAAATAACAAACATATTTCCAATTTCAGAAATGATTATTCATACGAAAAATTATTTTTTGCACTGTTTATACAACCAAAATTTGAATGATAATTCTGAACAGTAAAAGCAGATGAAAATCACTAAACCACGAACTTTGCGGTTTGCAGTGAAACTCTACAGTTACAGTGGACTGGAACAGGCTTCACTGAAACTAGAGCCTATATTTTCTAATGTTGTCGTTGTACTAAGCTACCTACCTACCCAACGCCTAGCTTGCTATCTATCCTGTGTCAGCACCAGCTGCATACGGTTCATTATCATCTTCAGCAGCCAGTGCGTACAACAACTTTGCCGGCGGTGGATAGTTAGCATCGCCCAGATAGCCGCTAATGATTGAGGGTTCTCTGTCTCGTTGAGGCTCGTAGTTTTGAAATATCCAGTCAGCTTGGTTATTTTTCTTTTCTTAAAAGCTGGGACTCCCGCAGCAATTTCCCAAGTCGATTTGTGCATTTTGAGCCCCGCTGTCACATTTCTTTCTACGTTTTAGTGTCTTTTGTCTTAAATTTCCACTCCAGGAGCAATGTAACTGCTGTATTTGTATAGTTAAAATTCAACGACTCATTCATTGGACAGTAACAATAGGCAAGGACGTCGTCCATTAACCAATCACAGTGTCTTTTATTTATGCAAAATATTATGCACCACGTCCCGTTACAGGGCAGGCCCAACACGAACAACAATCAGAGCACTGCATAGGCTTGATTCCACCAGGAGCGTCTTGGCCGTGTTACTGCCGCAACACGGTTGCCGGAGTTGATCCGTGGCCATTCTAGACAATGGCTGTGATTCCACCAGCCGCGCCATGGCACGTCTCGGCAGCGTCCCAGAAGCGGCTCTCCGAGCTGCTCCGTCGAAAATACGCGCCGAGTCTATTTCTGCCGCTGGCGAGCCGCAGTCGCGCTGATCTGAATATAGCAGGGATACGTTTCCCATAGTTCGACCATATACATTTATTACGTTAGTATTTGTGCTAATGGGAATCGCACACCAGATCGTGCCAGGCGGGAAGTAACTATCTAGGGGAATACGCTTTTAACTAAAGGAAACCAGCCACAAATCTTTGATATAAAATTTGTTTATAACTTACTTTTCAAAGTTGTGATTTTGTTTTAACTAAAACACGGGCACAGTTTTTTTAAATCTATGGTGTTCACGGCTGGACTGTAGTAGCTTCTACAGCACAACAAAGACGGGAATGACATTAAATGCAATTAAAGCAGAAAAAATAACAGAAAGCATTTACGGTCGTTGCACAAATATGCCGGTAAAAATGATGAAATATGCGAAATCTGAGCAAGTCGATTGTATCAGCTGGCAGGACACTGCACTGACGTTCCGCGCTCAATGTAACATGAAGTCGCGTACAAGACGCAGCAAAATAGCGTCGCTCACGTCACGCTGCAAATACGCGTCCGGTGGAATCCAGGGGTAAGCATTATTTTGCGTTTCTGCCGATGATTGTTTTCATCCCGAGCCTCGCGATAGGCTCTTTCACGCGTCGGGCCCCGGGGCTTCAGCCCTGGTAAGCCCGTGCATTAATGCGGCCCTGCTCATGAAGTTTCTCACAGAGGTTAAAAAGAAGCGGTGAGGAATTATCTGATGGAACATCATTTTTTGAATGTTCTAACGCAGCCCAAGCCTCACACTGAATTTTGATCACGGACGAGTATACGCTGTTGCGCATCAACAGCTCTGCTGCTTCTTTGCCTGTAAGGAGGTAATGAAGCATTGTTCAAAATGGCTACCACCCAGAAAGAAAAGGCACCGGTGGGATTTGAACCCAGGATTTCCTCTTTACTCGACAGGCACTTTAACCAACTAAGCCACAGTGCCAACAAGAGAAATGGAATGGCCAGTCCTGTTATGGCCCCAATTTGTTATGCCGTCAATTTGTTATGGCCCCAATTTGTTATGGCGTAGCGGACAGCAAGGGATGACAGACAAAATTTTAAAACTTCAACAGATTTAATTAAACAAACACTTTGAACTAATCTACAATCTACCCTACTGACCAAGATTGAAATAAAAAAAAATGAGACATTTACAGTCCCTTGGTAATTGAGATGGACTGCTGTGTGGCGATGTCCTGGTACAGGAAAATGCTCCAACACAGGCAAAAATCCACAAAAAGCTTCACAGGTCTTGAAAAGAGTGACAGGTCTGGTCAAATGTATCCTTCCACAATTTCTCCTTGCAATTTCTCCTACTCCCTTTCACTCTCTCAATTTTTCTCCTTATATACTCTTTTCCAGCCCCCTCCCACCTTCCAGACTTTTCTCCAATTCTCTGGGACATTCCCCTCTGAGGCATGCCCAGGACATGCCCCAACCTAGCTCCAGACTGGGCTTAACAAAAAAAAATGTCAATACTGCCATCTAGTGGCTTTTTTCCCCCCACATTACAGTCCTCAGACACAAAACCCCAATTCTGAAATAGTTGGGACAAAGTGTAAATTGTGAATAAAATCAAAATGCAATGACTTTCAGATCCCATGAGCCAATATGTTATTTACAGTAGAACACAGATAACATTTCAAATATTAAAACTGAGACATTTTACATTTTTATCCACAAAATGAGCTTATTTCAAATTTTCTGGCTACAACAGGTCTCAAAAAAGTTGGGACACAGGCAAAAAAGGGCTGAAAAAGCAATTAATATATAAGAGAAACAGCTGAATATTTAGCAAGTAATTAAGTTCAAGATGATAGCTACGAGTTTAATTCCTCCCAGCCAGTAGGTGTCACACTCACACTCGCCTGCTCTCGCTCCAACCTTCAATTGTACTGGTTGCCAGGAACGCCAAATATCGGAGGTAGACGGAGAACAAGAGAGATGTCAAGCGAGGAGTCTTTCGTGGTATATTAATTATTGAATCATAAATCCTCTCTGTGTGCCTATATAACGCCATTATACTCACTGTAACAATCTCCTTGTACACGTTTAGATCGCTAACTAAACAGCTGACTGACGAATGCCATCATATAACGTCTTTTTAAACGTCTTTTAACGTCTATGTTTTTTTACTTCATCAGTGATTGAACCTGTTATTTCTATAATAATGATTGTTTATTCATTTACAGACATTTTAGTTTGCCTAACAAAGCTCATGTTAGCTGACTATTTGTTGTCCAGCCTGAAGGAAATCCATCCAGCTCCTGTAAGGCAGCCCAGGTGTAGAGAGAGGCAGGAGAGGCCAGGGGGCTGGTGCTGGTGGAAGAGAAGGCAGACACTGGTTCCTACTATATCAGCATCAACACCACTCATACTAATCTAGCTGGTTAACAGCACCACACCCACCTGATTGTTTCCTGATAGATACATCTCTGTTGGTAGTGTAATAAATCCATGTGGCAATTTGTACCTACTATTATTTAGCTTTGTGCTGTGCTGTTAGGATTTGTATTAGATTATACTTGTATTCCAGAGACAGAGAAGAGGCAGAGGTCAGGGTGGCAGAGGAGGTGGAAGAAGATGAGGAAGAGGGCAAGGCAGAGGAAGGGGTAGAGGTGGTGTAAACAGGCAGACAGTAGAAGATAGGGAGAGAGTCTTGGCCCTGCAAGAGGAGAGAAGGGTTCAGACTGAGGTTTGTATTTTTTGATGGTTTGGTCCTCAAAACCTCTACAGGCTGAAGTGGCCACAGTAAGGCGGCCTTTCTTGAAATTTGGCATAGAGGTCGAGTACCGTACTGAACCTCCATGCCAAATTTCCAATATATATTGTTATATACAGCGGAGGAACATGTATGTTGGTCGCAGCTACTGTGAATTCACTTGTTCCTGCTCCATATAAGAACAATAATATTCACAATTGATTTGCATATCACTTTTTATGATACTTTTCAGTTATTATTATATTATGTTGGTCTTGGACAATCTATCAATGGGCTATGGTTGTAATGAATCTCAATGTGCTATGGTTATATGTTTTTTTTTAGGAGCTACTTGAGTCATTAAGCCTGGAGGAGCACAGGGAGTTAGGCCGCCAACTCTTTGCCAGGGAGCCTGGTTTAGTATTTGATGCATTAATGATATATGAACAGCAGCATGGTGCCCCACAACCTGCTGGGATGCCAGACGTGCCATGGTGCATATGTGGTAGGTGCAGGGACATGCCTACTGATCTGGAGAAGCTGTGCTGCGGCCAGGAATCAGAATACTGTGTGAGCCAGCTGCCACTTCTCCCTGTACTGCCTCAGTGAAGATAACCTCAGGATTCACCGGCGATACAAGGAGGACCCTCTGGTTGTGAGGCCAGCTAGGGAGCCTGGGGATGACAACCGGGAGTACCGTTATGCTGCCTACAGGCATTTTATCTTCTGGCAGCATGGCTCTCTGGGCCAGGGAAACCGGCTTATCATCCCCAGTTGCTGCGTGTGGGCGATCAGGGACCGCTTCCCTGATCCTCATGGGCAATACACAGGCTTTGTTCCTGGCCGCTAAGCTCACTCTCCTGGTCACTGTGTCTCTGCCTAGCTTGCCTACCTTGGTGTCACCGACTCAATGTTCACACTGAACCCCCTAGTTCCCTCCACTTTAACTGTTCTTACTTTATACAATGAGGCTTTATTTATTTTAAAAGCAAATTGGTCCTTAGTTGTGAGTTGAGAATATAGAAACTTTATTTTTAATTTATTTTTATATTTATATTTCGTTTTAAATATTGAACTGCAGCAATGTCCAGTAAAATACATTTTTAAATGAAGTAAACTTTGATGTCTTCATTAATCAGCACATGCCAACAACACTCTCAAGTTCAATCTAAATGATCATCCCTTACTAGGAGCCATTGTTTTGTACAATTAATAAAATGACTAGTTATAATAGTAGTCGAAGACTAGTAGACTATCAAAATAGTCATTAATTGCAGCCCTAGTCGCTGATCACTAAAAAGGTTCACGTCGAAGTGAGGATGGTGTTGACTGTTCGTTATGATTTGACGCTTAAATATATATATATATATATATATATATATATACAGTGCCTGACAAAAGTCTTGTCGCATAAGGACATAGTAACTAAAAATAGCATATAACTTTATTTCTAACCAATCAATTGTTACAATAAATGGTCCATTTTAATGTCAAGGGCTTTCACATAAATAATTTGGAGCAAAATGAAACCGTCAAAAAGTGTTCTGATGTTCACAGCTTGGCTAAGCCCATAACATCTGTTTTTGCTAGGACAAAAGTCTTGTCGTCTCTTCAAATGATGCAACAAATCGCAGATTAGAGTTTAACCTATGACAAATACTGTAATTAACACATTCCCAGATGTGTATAGAAATAACCCCAGCACACCAGACTTTCATATGAGGTGCGACAAGACCTCTGACAACATACCAAAGATTCAACCACAGACCAAAGTGCTGATCATCAAGAGCCTGAAGAATGAGTCTGCTGCTGAGGTGGCAGACATCTTTAATGTATCCAAATGTCAAGTGGAGGGGATGAGAAAAAGATTTGAAGAAACTGGTGACGTTCATGGCAAGCGCAGGTCAGACAGACCCCGGTATGACAACTGTTTGAAAGGACCGTTTGTTGCTTCAACTGTACAAGGCTAGCCCTTCTTAAACTACAGCGAAGCTACATGAGGAAATGTCACCAAAAATCCCGGTATCTACATGAAGTTTGTCAAATTCTCTCTCAAAGTGGTTTTCATAGCCAAATTAGTACACAGAAGTCTGCATTAAACAGAAAACAAAAAACCTGCATTGCATTTGCCAAGGCCCACAGCTCGCAGAAAGGATTGACACTGGAAAAGTGGCTGAAAGTTTATTTTTCTGGTGAATCATCCATTGAACTACATGCCAGTCGCCGTACAAGACCTGTTGGAACCCTCATGGACCCAAGATTCTCCCAGAAAACAATCATGTTTGATGGAGGAAAAATCATGGTTTGTTGTTACATCCAGCATGGGGGTGTGAGAAAGATCTGCAGAGTGGATGGCAACATCAACAGCCTGAAATATCAAGAAGTTCTTGCTGCCCTACTTATACTGCTGCTCCTTCTCATTCTTCTGCCTCCATGTCACAGTTCCTGAAAGCGAAGAAGGTGAAGGTACTCCAGGATTGGCCAACCCAGTCACCTGACATGAACATTATTGAGCATTTCAGGGGTAAGATGAAGGAGGAGGCTTGGAAGATGAAACCATAGAATCTTGATGAACTCTGGGAGTCCTGCAAGACTGCTTTCTATGCCATTCCAGATGATTTCATCATCAAGTTACCTCAGTCATTGCCAAGACGTATGGATGCAGTCCTCCAAGCTCATGGGAGTCATACGCAATATTAATTCTTTTTTCCAAGGCACCATGGCTTTATGTTCTGATATTATAGTGGCATATTTGTGTATTCAAAATAAAGCGTATGTATAATTTCCACATTTTTTTTTCAATGCGACAAGACTTTTGCCCAAGCAAAATCTGGCCTTTCTGTACAAATTAAATTATAAAACTCAATCAATGACACAAAACTCTATTTTGGTATATTTCGCATAATCTAGAGGGCTTTGCCTTTCATATAAGCCATTTTTGATTCCAATTGATCAACTACAAGTCAGGTTATTATTTGTTGTTCCTACAACTTGGATAAGTGACAAGACTTTTGTCAGGCACTGTATATATAAATGGTGGCATTGTGATCATTTGTGCACATTCGATTTTCACTAAAGATGAAACAATGATTCAGTGTTGACAAATGTTAAGCACTGCATAAGACATGCTTCAAAATAAAACATCATTCAAACATTTTGTTTGAACGCTTATAAAGCAAATAATGTTAGTTTTTTAGTATGAAATGTGCTATATAAATAAAATTAGACTGTTTTTGTAACTA